AGAGGAAATACCAGAAAACAAACAGAAAAAGAAAGAAAAGGAAAGATACTGATGACATAAGAAGCAAATGTACCTCAAGTTGGGGAAGGAACACAAGTAATCGATTTGTCATGTCTTGAAGCAACTACAAACTAATGGGCATCAGAAGGCAATGAAGAAAGAAACATGATGATCAAGGCAACAACACTAAGTAGTATTATAGGCAACATTTTTAAGGTGCTCACCTGAAGATACATATCATGAGCATCTTGTTTGCGTGACATAATGTGTGGCAATAGGTAATTAACAACTGGCTGAAACTCTGGTTCAAGACCAGCCACTGATATCCCGATCAACTATGAGGCAAGAATTATTTAAACAACTTTAGTGCCAATAACAAAAATAAATAATAATTACATCAGAATTATTGAAATCATCAATTAAAAAATGTAAATTTAACTCATAAGGAAAATAGCTGGAATTAGCATCATAGTGATCATCAAACAGGCATATTGTCATCTATGATTCAAATAAGAACACAGCATTTGCTGTTACTTGAATTTTGTGATTTCTCTCATGCTACAATGTCATGTAAATACTTTGCATTTATTACTTGAACCTTGGTCCACTAAATCCATTACATCCAAGATTTCTAAGTCCATATGACTCATCTGTAGAATGACAAGTTCCCTTACTAGTGTCACAAGGCTAAATGCACCTTATGGGAATTAACAAAAAGAACTTGTTGCTGACAAAAGATATGGATACAACCTCATCAATGCTTCACAAAATAATAAACACAAAATGCAATTAAAACAAACCTCAATAACAGAAAGGGGATTAAAACATCTACTACATGCATGAGAATTAACATGTATCTAGCTTTCTAACAATAAGAAGTGAGTTTTTAATTAACTATCTAGTATTAGCTTATTTAGATAACAAAAGAGTATTAAACTGGATGAAGCCCAAAAAATATTGCAGAATATCCAAAGAAAAACTAAATATCATCCATGCAATAAGAACACTATGCTCATAGATGTTACCACAAAAAAAAGTCAGTTAAATGAATCCTTCCATACCAATTTCTACAACTATTATTAATAGGATCCAGTAAAAAGATTAGACAGGAAGAATTTTTTGAGGGGTAATTACTAATTTATCAGGCCATTGCTTGCTGCGTAACAGCTAGATACTAAACATATTCATTTTCACTACACTAGTTTTTTCTTTTTCTTTTTCTTTTCCTTGAAAGAAAAAGACAACAAAAATATTCATGATCAACATAGTAATGCAGAATATCATGGTAATGCAGAATGAATCCATAGAGTAATTCCCCTTAAATCTATCATTGAAAGAACTACATGATTCTCACCTGAATAAAAAAAATTGCTATCGGGTTTCCTCGTAAACAAGATATTCGTACATAACGGCATGGAGCATAGTTCATAGAATACATCATATCACGGCGAGGTGCTTCACAACGGGGGCGAACTTTTACAAATGTTTCTGGCTGTAAAGAAAACCCAGTCAACAAGCCATGTGATAAATTGCTTAAGATAAATTGCATTTTAGAATCCCACATGCAGCAATGCTTCCACGGTTCCCATGATAAATATCACACAGTAATTAAAATAATGAATAAAGGTACAAGAATGCAAGTCACTGCTATGTGTAATTAGATGATTTAAATAAATTAGAAGATAAGTCTTTTTTCAAGTTACAAATAAATTTATTCAACAACAAACCAATAATAAAACTATTATGCATTCTAGTCTAGCTCTTATTCAAAACTATGAAATTCTATCATGCTAGTTATTTGTACGGCTTGTTGGTTGGGATTTGGATTATACTCTACGCTAGCTCACTCCATTCATTTTCCCTCTTGCTGTTCAAGTCTCCCTTTACAAGGTCTCAGAAAATGGATACTTGTATGCGATCCTTTAAAGGCTCTTTAGATACTTTAGGAGGCTCCTACAACCATGGATCAAACTGCACTTAGCCTGAATCATTCAGTATTTTGTTCCCCCACCATATGAAGAAGAAGCAAAACTAATGCAAGATGTTTTATTACTGTTTTTTTTTTTTTTCCTAATTTTACCACTTGCTTCTCAATCTGGATGTCTGTTAATGCAGGAAATCTAAGGCCAGACCTCCAAGTAATGAGCAAAATAGTGTTTCCATTTAGTAAACAAGTCATAAGAAAGAAAAAGTATGTAAATTATGTTGCAAATAATGCAATTGGTCAATTATAAGCCAAAGAGTAAATAATTCCTGAGACTCTCCTATTTAAGAAGTGAAATGTTACTTGTCTGCTCTCAGAGTGGGCAGTTAAGGTGAGAAGGGAATCACTCATTCTCAAAACCAGTGTTCTTCAGACCAAAAAAGCCATTGCAGTTACAATAAAAAATAATAAAATAGTATGCAGCTCGTCTGCAGGTGCTAAGGAAATTAGACTCAGGAGTCCACAGCAAGCCTTCTAAAACAATAACATAATTGAGTTTGTATTTGAAGAGTTTAGCTCACTTTATCTGGATACCTGAGTTATTTCTTAGGAATTACTGTTCCCCAAACTGCTCATTCAGCTTCTTGACAAATATTATTTTGAGTAAAAAATTATTTCACTACTCAATAAATTGTGAAAAAAATTAACCTTTAGCCATCTGCTAAGAGAGAAAACTCATCCATTTTGCAGCATATATTGTTTCTGAGAGATGTTCCTACTTTCTAGATGAAACTAAAACTTAGCATAACAGCAAGATGTGGTAATAAACAAAACATCACAGAAATAAGTAAAAACATCACTTGGCAAAATCCATGCACATCTAGTATAACCTTGACCGTATGCGCTATAAATGTTGCAAACAGTAACATTAACAAAATAAGGTAAGCATGGATTTTCAACATGAGAATCAAATCACACCAAAGGAAATCAAACCTAAATGGTTTAGTTGAATACCCAACCTTATAGCGTAAGCCAACAGCTATCTCCCATTCAAGCACGGATTTGTTATAAATCTGTATATGTGACAATAGGCAAGGTTCCTGTGAAGAACAAAAACAAAGAGAAAAACATTTAGACATGACTAGAAAATTTCCAATGACATATAATCATTAAAATTCATGTAAAGTGATTTGACATCTGCAACAATTTTACAATAACCCAGAGGAAAGCAAGAATATCAAGCAACACTGCTGGTAAAAGCCCCTAGGCAGTAGTAATCACTTGCAATCTCACCTTTATCTAGGTTAATGGAGTTTGGAACTCCAATTAGTAGGAAACAAAGAAAAACAAGACCATAAATGGGCTTATATTACATTCATGGAGTTATCAGCTCATAGAAATATACATGTATTGATATTCACAGTGAGGTAATTTCAAACAATTAGAAAAAAAACAGCAGTTTACTCAGATTTGGTATAATTTCTTGCCTGATCCTTCAATCATTCAAAAAAATAATAATAAAAACAAAAACCAATGTTCAAAACATGCATGCTTACTAAACTAACAGGCTTCATATTCATGTTCAAAACAAGGAGCAATTCTATAAAAATTCATACAATTGCCTCAAAGAAAAAAGAAAAAAAATTAACAAAACAGGACAGAGAACCAAAATTTAAGCAGCAAAGCAAGAAACAGAATAACACCAAAAAAAAAAACACAAAAAATTAACATAAATAGATACAAAAACAAAAATGAAAAAACCAAGAAAAATATTCCACCTATAATTACAAAAAAGCTATAAAAGTTACTTACATCAAGCTCAAGTAAGATCCATTCCTTAGTATTCGTAGCAGTGGACCAATGAGTCCTGAGGTCGGTGTCGAGAACGTGAGAGGCTTTATGAGAGGGTGACTCTCGAGATGTTGCTTTCACTTTGTAACTCAATGGCTTCACCCTTGGCTCCAATTCTATCTCCATCTTTTCTCAATATCTTCTTTAAGCCCTCAAAAGCTTCTTCTTTTCCTCTTTTTCTCTGTTAAAGCTTTCTGGGTTTTCAATCTGAAGGGGATGGAAGGTGCCTGACCCTGTTTTTCCCCAGACTCAGAGAAATAATCTCTTCTGCTTAATTTAACGGAGAAAGGAGAAGACTTTTTTTGTGGGACAAATATGAGAACTTTTCGGTTTCTTCAATCAAAATTGCCTGACTAACTTGGATTAAACTTTGGGGCCTTTTGGTTTCTAGTAAATGGTCATTTTGGGTTAACGATCTAACAACATTAACTTTTGGGCTTTATCTATAATTTTAGGTTTGGGGCTTAGTAATTGATTTGGGATTTCTATGTTCTTGTAAATTGAGCTTTATCGTTTTAGATTTTTATGTAGGTTTGGGCTTTTTCATGGTTTAAGATTTTGGGTTTAAAGTACTATATATATATATATATATGTCTGTATAATTTCTCGAAATAAATATTTATATTAGAAGGAATCCATTTATATTAATTTTTTAAAAAGTTACATTTTTTTTAGTCAATTCAAACTTAACTCTTGACAAGAAACAGTAGAAATTTGAGTGTTTTTTTATTCAGTCGTTACCTAATTATCATTTTTATCAGTTGGGAATTGGGATGGTTACATCTTTGAATTGAAAATTATTATAGATTTGTTGTACAAGAATCAATAAATATGCAAGCAACATTGATTCTTCCCAGTCATGCTTAACTTTTCTGCTGGGCAGGGCAGGCAATATATGCTTAGCTTACATCTGACTTGAATAAAGTATTTGCCAAAATTGTTTTAATAATCCATGATTCTAGTTACTACTTACTAGCCTTTATTTAATTTTTTGCTTTTGGATTATCTTGGTGTCCATTTATCAAAATTATTATTCATTGAATCACAAGTTTCATAAAAAAATGGTTTTGCTCAGTTTTGACAATCGAACTTAGTTATATATATATATATATATATATATATATATGTATGTCTTAATATGTTTGTCAGATGTGTTCTTCACATTTATCGCCAATTCTACCAAATTGTTCCTTCAGCTTCTTTTCTTAGTGGAATTGAGAAAACCATGGCAGGATCAGCAGATTTGAAGCTTTTGGGCACAAGGCAAAGCATGTTCTTGCAGAGAGTGGTATGGGCATTGAAGCTGAAGGGTATTGAGTATGAGTTCATTGAAGAAGACCTATTCAACAAGAGTTCAATGCATCTCAAGTCAAACCCAGTTCAGAAAACAGTTCCTGTTCTCATCCGTGGCCAAAAACCCATACCCGAATCCAAAATCATCCTGGAATACATTGATGAAACATGGAAGGAAAGACCCAACTTGCCACAAGATCCTCTTAAGAGAGCTTATATGCGTTTTTGGGCTAAATTTATTGATGAAAGGGTAATGCTTATTAGTTGCTTTACTTCCTAACAAGCTTTGGAAGGGAAATGATCAACCATTTCTTTTTGTTACATTTCATTATTATTTATTAGAGATTGTTACAACCTTTGATCTCAAATTGATAATGACTACCAACCGCATTAGTGGTTATTTTAAATGATCCATTTTTGTGGGTCAACTTCTTTTTATTATCATTTTTAGAATTATATATACTTTGCCTTCACAAGAAGATTACTGATTTATAGTTATTTTTTTTGCTTAGTTGGTGGAATCAACAATCAAGGCATTTTTTCCCACCGGGAGGAGATCAGGCAAAGGCGACTGAAATCCGCATCGACGCCTTACACAAATTAGAAGAAGCAGATTCGTGAAAAAGGTTCTTTGGAGGTGACGAGATTTGGGTATCTGCGATATAGCAGCAGGGTGGAATGGCACATTGGCTATCCATTGTAGAGAAAATAGGTGGCTTTTCAAGATGATGTGACTCAACAACATTTCTTCCTTTGATTCATGGACTAAAGAATTTCTACTAGTTTCAACCATCAAGCAACACGTTCCCCATCTGATGAACCTGCACAATGGCTACGTTGCTTTTCGAAAACGCCTGTTAGGGAAACAGTGAAAATAAATGCTTTCAGCATTAGCTTTTACAGACAGTCGATTCGATACCTCTTTTCTAAATCAAATAATAAATATTTTGGACGCATTTTACGCATTTCAGGTTATAGAGTTTTGTCTTATATATTAATGTCTCATTTAATTAATTTTGATAATTCAGTGCTAAATTTTTTTTTTTTTTTCAGTGAGATTAGCTACAAACAAAATTGTAGAGCTTTACACTCAATCTCAAGATTTTCTCGCACTTTTACTATATTTTGATGAATTTAATAGTAGTAATTACAGACTTGTTAAGTCTTCTATCTTTTATAACTACATCTTTAATCAATAAATAATATTCTGTCATCATAATCCAAAAAATAAAAATTATAATTTCTTTGTATATAATCCAAATGCAACTAACACCACACTAGCCTCCCAAAATGACATTGGCCCCTTTTTTTTAATCATAATTCTTTTTTGTGGCCCTAAACCTAACTAACATATAGTTGTTTTTTTTCTTTAATTTAACTTTTTGCATTTGGATTATATTTGGAAATTAGAAGTGCACTTTGAGCTACAATTAAAAAAAGACTTAGGGTAAATTTAAATTGGAAGTCTTCTTTTCCTCAATATTCAAAGACTTAGGTCTTCCTCCCAAAAAAAAAAAAAAAGACTTGGGATATACAATTGAAATTCAAATGGTGAGTTCGCCACCAAAATTTTAGTATATGGTACTCGTTTTCCTATTATCATTTAGAAAATCATGGCAGCTGTTGGCAATTTGAAGCTTTTAGGGACAAGGCATAGCATGTTTACCCAAAGAGTTGTATGGGCATTGAAGTTGAAGGGCATTGAAGTTGAGTTCATTGAAGAAGACCTTGTTAACAAGAGTTTGTTGCTTCTGGCATTGAACCCTGTCCATAAAAAAGTTCCAGTACTCGTTCATGGTGGAAAACCGATAATTGATTCGAAAATCATCCTGGAATACATAGATGAAACATGGAAGGAAAGACGTCTCTTTCCACAACATCCTCCAGAGAGGGCTTATGTACGTTTCTGGGCTGCGTTCATTGATGACAAGGTGATCAGCCCAACTAATTTCATTCATTTTTAGTCAATTATATGATTTTCATTGTGATCTTCTATTCTTTTATCAATTTCTTCAAAAGAAAAAAAAACAAAAAAACAAAAACATAGTCTGAATATTTTTAATGGCTAGTTGGATTACAACATTATTGAAAATTTCTGATGTAGTTGATGGAAGCATCAAAGAAGGCATTTGCTTCAACAGGAGATGATCAAGTGAAGGCAATCAAATCGACTGTCGAGGCCTTACAATTACTTGAAGAAGAGCTTCATGGAAAAAAATTTTTTGGTGGAGATCAAGAAATTGGGTTTCTTGATATAGTAGCAGGATGGATTGCATATTGGTTGCAGTTTATTGAGGAAATTGGTGGTTTTAAGGTAATGGATTCAACAAGGTTTCCATGTTTAGATTTATGGACCAAAAATTTCCTACAAGTTCCGAGCATTGAGCAAAACCTTCCCCCACCTGATGAATTACGCAATGTCTTTAGTGCCATCCGAATGGCTATGTGCCCCAAATAGTTATAAGAAATAATTTGAGTACTTCTATTTATTTTCTTTAGATTCATGTTTGCTTTCCTCCAACTATGTACTTGACTTTCCCTTTCATTTGGATCTATATTGTGATGCTGGTCTTTGGAATTTGCGGTTTTTAATTTGGTGTCATATTATTTAATATGTATATAATCGATGAAAAATTTAAATTTTATGAATGAGATTAAGAACTAACTTGTCGGAGAAAACTATGTATAGTCTTATTAATTATCAAAGTTCTCCACAAAACGATTTTGACAATTTTAGAATTTAATGATCGTTTACAAAATTCAATTAGAATATTTGACATAGAAGTGGGTGGAACCAATAAAAAAGTTTCATGAATTTTTGGGGGGCTCCAATTTTAGCTAACACTTTTGGACCACAAAGCCAAATGGGAACTAAAGTCGTCAAAATTTTCCGGGACTCATTAATAGCAATGATCATAACGTTATATATATATATATATATATATATATATGATTTTATTTATTCAAGAAAGCAGAAAATGCATATGTTTTGAAGAATAGTGTACATCAATCAAAGCGACCATAAAAAAACAAAAGAAATGATGAAATTGAAAGGACTACAAAATATTAACTCCCTAGTTTTGGAAGAGATTAGCATTCAGCGTCTCGATGTTATGCTATGTTTGATAAGAAAGATTAAAAGAGAAAAGGATGAAATTAAATGTTCTGGTTGTGGTAGACACAATTTATGGATCCAATCAGGTTAAGTTCCGATTTGAAAATTCGTATTCAAGGTTTGGTCAGATCATACCAAGCTTTCACGGCCACTCTTTTCAGACACAGATAGGTTTATTGGTGCATAAATCACAGGGAAAAAAAAAAGCTTAAGAATGTAAACATAAAAAATATACAGATATCTTAATTGTCAATTGTAAATTACAAAAAATGATTATTGTAGTTTTGAAGGGGAAAATATTGAATGCACAGAAAAAAAATGGAAGGAAAAACATTGGAGTGGTTTTAAAGAAGAAAACACAATTAAATTGTCAGTTTGTAAGCATTAATTCCAAGAAGTATATGCAAATGGTTATTATTGTTTTTGTGTTTTTCATTTAATTTCTTCTCTTTTCATTCTATTGGCTATAAAATAGCCAGAGGTAGCTTTTGGGAGATGAGGGTACCTTTCAATTAGCTCTGATCAAGACTGCGGCCCAAGTGATCCAAACCCTTAATCTCTTCAAACAAATCACAATGCAATCAAGCTATCTTACGAGCTAAGCAATTAACCTGACTAGGTACATGAACAAAGAGACAAGTTTGACATTGGGAGGCCAAATATCTGATATCGTCATTCATAACATCGCTCTCCAACGAATAAGCAAAAATTGTCTTTACTTTGAACCTCCAAAATGGCCTGCATCTGCATGCTATCTCCTTCATCATCATTAAATTATGAAAACCATTTGCTGTGGCCACTTTTAAACCAAAACAAATTGCCATAATCTAGGCGTGAAGAGCATGAGACAGAACTACTCTTTGACATGAAACTGTACTAAGCAAAACTTGGCCAAGATGATCTCTGATTTTGTCTGCTCCAATGAACCAAAGCAATTGGTCGGGATTGAACCTAACTTGAACTTCACAGCCATCCATCCACGGTTCCACAAAACCAAGTAACTAGTTTTTTTTAATATATTTTAAGAAATATGTGTTATTCTGTTAACATGTTGATAAATTTGAAATCTTAAATTTTAAATTCAATATTCGATATATGATAAAAAAAACTTAAATTTTACACAAGAAATTGAGATGATATATATAGTCACTTGTCTCTAATATATTAAAATTTAAAATTTTCATAAAAATAATAAAATATAGGGCAAATTGTTACTTTGATAAATCTATTCAAAAGATATCTACTTTAACCATAATAAATAAATAAATTTTAGCTCCAACACCATATTAAATTTTAGATTGTCCAATCGAATCAATTAGTAAGAGATGAAGAGTCTTTGTTATATTTATGAGTTCAAATTATTCTTAATTCGATAGATGTAGGATTGTTTTATTGATTGTAACCTTTTTACTCAAAGAATCAAATTTGAATTTTTTTTTTAAATTATAATTTTATATGAAAATAACTATAAAATCTGACACAAATTTTAACATCAAAAGAAGTCTCACTAATCCTAATATTGCATTAGACACTTTTTCTTCAAAACCCACCCAAATGTTTTCCCTCGTCAATATAAAATGCACATTTGCCTCAGCATAGCTCAGAGAGCCCATCCCCAGTCCAAAAATCAAAGCCTAGTAGCCAACACAAGAGTCCGGGAAGCGTTAAATACATAATAATTAGCTCACGCCAAGTTTCTTCCTCTCTTTCTCTGTGTCTATCCAATTATCTCTCTTTTTTTCCTGGTAAGTTGAAGCTTTGGCAATGGTAGGACAATCAAGGAAATGGATGATACTAGTTGCAACAACATGGATACAGGCTTTTACAGGGACAAACTTCGACTTTTCATCCTACTCTTCAACATTGAAATCAGTTCTTGGGATATCTCAGGTGCAGCTGAATTACTTGTCTGTTGCTTCAGATATGGGGAAGGTATTTGGTTGGTGTTCTGGGGTGTCTCTGATGTATTTTCCATTGTGGGTCGTCATGTTCATGGCTGCTTTCCTCGGGCTTTTTGGCTACGGTGTTCAATGGCTTGTCATCAAACAAATCATTACCCTTCCTTATTTCCCAGTAAGTTCAATCTTTAGTACTTGCTTAAATTGCTTGGTTTCTGCTTCCTGGGATTGTTAATCCGTTTTTACTGAATCTTATATTTCTTTTTTCCCTTTGCTTTCCATTTTTCTTCTCTATTCAGGATCTTCGACTTTCCTTCAGTTTTTTCTTCTTCTCTTGTTCTTGTTCTCAGGGGGTGGGTGGGGCGTGTACAATAAGTCCTTTTCCTTACCGTCTCTTTTTCATTCCTTTTTCTAGTTTCTATCTTTGACACAAATAAATTAGCGAACCTCACTCCTCCACGCAAGCCAAAAACATTAACACAACCTGAAGTTCGTTCCTTGTGAATCTAACAGTGTAAGTTAGTTTGGCAAAGGGTTAACATGTAATTTCATTTTTGAATTATAGTATTCATAGAAAAATATAATGACTAGTTATTCGAATTATCTTTCCGTATCACTAATTAACATGATAGTTGAAATATTGACCAATAAAAATGTATTACATTTTATGAGATTATTGATTATTTTTTATCACATTAATTTATCAGAATTAGTGTGTGAAACAAAACATTTGATGCAAAATAAAATATTTTTTTTATAAGTATCAAATTATAAAAGGTAGTATAGTTCACACGTTAACCCTTTGGCAAATGGAAAGTGAAACGATAATATGTGTACCAATCAGGCGTGGGGGTTGTAGGTTGTAACTGGTGGTTGAAGTAAAGAATAATTTTCAGACCCTTTTAGAACCTTCCTCATCCTTTAGATGCCCACCTTAGGTCCAATATCAAGATGATTACCAGTTTTGGTTTGGGACCTTTTTTTTTTTTTACCCTCAATTGTTTTTCCCAACTAATTTCTGTCAGAATTGATAACTTAATTTAGTTAACACTGATGAGACAAATAGTAGGAAAGCCGTCCAAGAAGAGTTTACCTACTACTTTCACTCCATATTTTGGTCGGTAAAGAAAATTTGCATAATCTGATTATTCAAAGTTAGCTTTTGGGTAAATTAATTTTCTCAAAAAAATATTTTAAATAGATATGATAATTTTAAATATAACATGATTATATAATAAAAAAACATAAAATTGATAGTGTAAAGTTAAAAAAAAGGTTTTGATAAAAAATAAAAAACATATGTTATATTTGATTTATCGACATTAACAATAATAAGATAATTTTTATGATTTCCTCGTGTTAAACATAAATAAACAAATATGAATACACAAAAAGCCTAATCTCAAACAAATATAATTTTTATTTTCAAGGCACGTCTTGATTGAAAGAAAGTTAGGATATCTATTTATGTGGCAAAGATTCAGTAAAAAACTTGTTTCTGGTGAAGGTAATTGGGGATTTTATGCTGAACTCACTCTGTTTGATATTAGATTAACTAATGTTTGGTACCTAAGGATTAGTTAGTCTTTATATGATGTGATTGAAAACCACTGGTAAATTTTTTAGGATCACTGTCTGCCAGTTAGGTAGCCAACCTTCCATTCAAACCTACCTTTCTTGCATTGGCAGCATGGGCTAATCTCCTATACTCTAGGAGTCACCCTGAACTTGATACAATTTATTCAAAAATTCAACATCACAATGTAGAATAAGCCAGACAGCTTGTGTTAGAAAAATGATGCAATCCCATTTTTATTGAGGAGAAATAACTTAACATTCTTCATATTTCAAATAAAAAGAAAATTTTACATGGCATAAATAGGAAATGAGTGAAATAGAATGATAACAAATCCTTCGTTCGCAGCCTATGAATAAAATTGCTTCATTTGTTGGATATTATGAAAGACCCTTGAAGAGTTGAAGTTGTTGCCATGTCTACGTGCTCCCTATTTGCAGACACAATCAGCAAATAAGAACCAAAGAGGTCAAATTCCACTCTGGAAAATCCCTCATTTCTTAATTAGGGGAAGATACTTACCATTGAGGCAAAACTTACAATTCTATACTAACATTACTGAATGCGTTACTTTATTTTTTGATAGAAAAAAAATTCTACTGAATCCATTGCTTGCAATATCTGGTACCTATCTGTACGTTACAAATGATTCTGCTCAGTCATGCAGACAAACAAGTATTACAGGGAGTTGATGGATAATACCCTGGTGGGGAAAGAGGGAGATAGTTGCTTGAGTAAAAGCCTTTGATTAGTGCTGAGAGGGCATTACATTGAAAACTAATTGTGATTTCATGTGAATCCATGGCAGGTATTTCTTCTGTGTTTGGTTGCTGGTTGTAGCATCTGCTGGTTCAACACAGTATGCTTTGTTTTATGCATCAGAAATTTCCCAACCAACAGGGCACTTGCTTTGTCCCTGTCCATCAGTTTCAATGGTGTAACCGCTGCACTTTACACTCTAATTGCCAATGCAATAAACCATGATGATGACACCCTCTATCTCTTCTTAAATGCACTTGTGCCTCTTCTTGCATCCATCTTAGCTCTCATCCCAATCCTCCGCCAACCACCTTTGCAACTTCTTTCCACTGATGTTATTAGTCAGGATTCTTTCATTTTCATTGTCCTCAATGTTTTAGCTGTTATCACCGGCCTATATCTTCTCCTGTTAAATTCACTTTCATCTGAAGCATTAAGGGCACGCATTCTCCTGGTGGGTGCCTTAATGTTATTGCTCCTACCTTTGTGTTTACCTGGCATTGTCTGTGGTAGGAACTGGGCTCGTCGTACCATCCATAGCAGGTTTTGTCTTGATGTCTCGAACTTCAGATTGGTTGACCCTGATGACCTCGAGCTCCATAAGGAATTGATTGGAAATAATCAAAATAATGGCTCGAGTGTCAATCCATTTTATGAGACAAATAAAGAAGGGTTTTTTGGGAAGGTAATGGAGAAAGGCAGGTTAACAATGCTTGGTGAGGAACACTCTGCAAGATTGCTAGTGCGCCGGTGGGATTTCTGGCTATATTATGTGGCCTATTTCTGTGGAGGGACAATAGGGCTGGTTTATAGCAATAATATAGGGCAGATTGCACAATCACTCGGATACTACTCCCAGATTAGTACAGTCGTGACTCTTTACTCCTCTTTCTCATTCTTTGGTCGTTTGCTTTCAGCTGCCCCAGATTTCCTGCGTGAGTACGTATTACTGCAAATAGTATATTTATGCTGTTTAAAGATTGCATCAACATCAAACAATAAGCACGGCACCACTATTACCTTTAGAATTCATTTAATAGATGAAAGGCATCTCCAGCAAAGTAGCATCCCTTTGCATGGAAACTGCCCGTACTCTTTCGGTACCATACGGCCATTATTAGAGTTCAGTAGTCTTTAAATATACAGTTGTAGAATTCAGAAGCAATTCTGAATTGAATTTGCTTCATAATTGAAGAATGAATTCTACTCTAAATTTTAAATTGACTTCTATAGTTCCATGTAAGCTTTTAACTCAGAAAATGATGACTTAAATGCCTTACAAATGCAGCAAGGTGTACTATGCAAGGACTGGGTGGTTAGCAGTTGCCCTGGTGCCAACACCAATAGCCTTCTTTCTGCTTGCTGCATCAGGTAGTGAGGCAGCATTGCATGCTGGCACAGCCATGATTGGATTAAGCTCCGGATTCGTATTTTCAGCGGCAGTGTCCATCACATCAGAGCTATTTGGGCCTAATAGTGCCAGTGTCAACCACAACATCCTCATCACCAACATTCCCATTGGATCACTACTGTATGGTCTCCTTGCAGCTTTAGTATATGATTCTAATGTGAAAAGTTCTATGCAAGAAAATTCATTGGAGGAAGCAATGGTGTGCATGGGTAGGGACTGCTATCTGCAGACATTCATATGCTGGGGATGCATTTCCATGTTAGGCCTAATCTCAAGTTTTCTGCTCTTCTTAAGGACCAGGCCTGCTTATGACGACTATGAAAGGAATAGAAGTCCAGCACAGTTCTCGTAGAAAATAAAGTCCCTTCTCCTCTCTCTCTCTCTCTCTATTTTCCGTTCATTGGATCTCACATTTGTAATGCACTTGGGAGGGTATAACGACTCCCAAGAAAATTGGGTAAAACCAGAAGTGACATTGATTCATTGAATCATACATACGACTAACCATATAGCTATCCCCCTTCGGATCGGGGGGGGGGGGGGGGTGCCAATGTTTCTAACGTACCATAGAATGGAAAGAAAAAAAAAATGGTTAGATTATGACTCGTGGACTGCATCATTGTAAATGTGAAGGCAGACTACATTTTAGCTAGTTTTTACCAGTCATGACTGAAGTATTGGCTATTCTCACAGTTTTCCATTATTCCGTTGCTCTCAATTACGCATTTAATCTACAGAAGTTGCTAAGAGTGTTTAAGTGTCAGATGCAGCTCAGGAAATGACTTGAGGAAAACTTTACATGTTCCCTTTTTCTTTGAGACAATTATCAAACTTGTCACTAGCTATATGCTTCGATATTAATGAGTTTTGTTATTATACTTCAATTATGTTAAATTTTGACAACATTTTTATTTTTATTAAATTTTGGATAAAAATTAAGGGAATACTGCACGTTAAATTGCTTGACTCTTGTCTCAAGTATTTTGATGTTGATAGCAAAAAAATTGAAAATGAAACAATGCGTCAGTACTTTATAAATATAGGGTATTAAAGATAAAACGTTCCTTCATTAAGAGACTTCTAGTTAAACTTAAAACGTTTTTAAAATAATAAATTCATTAAATGACAAATCATATTTAATTTTAAAAAAATTAGTAATAGACTCTTAATTTAATATTTAGTAGTTAAGTTTTCGAACTTATATATAATAACAATTTGATGACTCTTTCTTATGCTTAATAGAAAGACAAAATGCAAATAAAAAACTTGCATATATATATACTAGTTTTTTTCATATGCTATGTACGTAATTATTAACTAAATTATAATTTAATATAATAAAATAATTTTAGTATTTTTATAGTAATAAAATTGAAATAACTATCATTATCCTAAATTAAATTGAAAATATAGATTTAAGTTTGAAAAAAATAAATATAACAAAAATTTTATATTAAAATTTCAATAAAAAATAAATATTTAATCTTTCTCTATTTTAACTTTTTTTAGAAGTTTTCTTTGAAGTCTTTTGGTTTTATGTTATCATCTTTGTTCATTTTTTATATATTTCTTCTTTTTTAAAAATTTTTTTCAAAGAATTATCTTTTATCACAATTAAATCGAATTTTGTACTTCCCTTTCTTTTCTATTTTATGCTTTTTCTCAAGTGTTTTCTTTTAACTATTTTGGTAGTAGATTTTTATTTTCAATTTTATAAATTTTTTGGCTATAGATAATCGTTGAACTCATTTAAATTATTACTTTTTATCTATTTGCTATTGAAATTTTAAATTCTTTATTTTGATTTGAAGCCATATTGTTATAAAGTTTTTGTTACTTGAAATAAAATAAATATATAATGTTTTCTTTTTCATGATCACTTACTTTTCTTTTTGATATGTACTTATTTATGTCATATAAATCATTATGTAGTTTAATTTTATAGTAAAAAAGATGCATCCTTACATTAATTTTACTAATTAAAAAATATTAATTTATAAACATATTCTAAAAAAAAAGGATTTGAAGCAATCAAGAACTATTAATATCTTGATTTAATTATCAATGATGTTTATTTATGCATTTACAAAGGATATTGATGCATACTTACATGAATTTTACTAATTAAAAAATATTAATTTATAAACATATTCTAAAAAAAAGGATTTGAAGCAATCAAGAACTATTAATATCTTGATGTAATTATCAATGATGTTTATTTATGTATTTACAAAGGATATTGACTAAAACTACTTTTAATATCGAATATTGATTTCTTAAAAAGCTACTAAATATGCATAACTTACTAAAATATGTTATAATAAGAGTTTAAATAACACACTTTACTTAAAGGTATATCTTATCATAATCAAATTGTATTTTTATGTTGTTCTTTAAATATTGAAATACTTTGCTCAATTAACTTTGGTTCAATATTATTATTGTTTGTTAAATAATGAAATATAAGTATTCTAAAATTAATAAGATATGACCTATTTTAGATAAATATCAAAAGATATTATCATATTTTGATGGTAAACTATATTTTAAATCTTAGACTTAAAAATTGATAATGAAAATATTTTTAATATTTGAACTCTTTTTTAATTAAAATGGAGTAATTTCTTTATTCGATAAACACTTAATTATATATCTAGTATAAGTCATACAAAAAATTTATCATTTAATCGATATTGTTATAAAATTACAATTTATAGAATTTATACTATTATTAGTATTATTTAATCATATATTTTAGTTTAAAATATTATGTACTTAAGAAAATAACTTATAGGTAATTTTTCTATGGTGTTTTTTAATAAGTTTAGACTCATTATTTCTTTCTTTCATTTTAAAAATATCTTTAAAGATAATAATTTTTTGTAGTTGCTATCATCGTTATAAAGGATACCACATAACACAACAATTTATTTTTACTAAAGATATAGCATTAATCTAGTTACTATTAATTTATTATCAAGTAGACAATCAATGATACACAAATTTAGGTAAAGTCATTCTAAATTTTTACTTCAAAAATTGATTTTTTTTTGATAAAATTATGTTGTTATAATAATTGGTACATTAATATTGTTTTAATCATCTATATATGTGTACAATATCCATAAATATTTGTAATTCAATACCCTAGTATTAAATGGCAATAAATATAATTTTTTAAATGAATCAAATATGTTACACATATTTTTAGAAAAAATATCTCTATATCAATATCCAACCAAAACAAAAAAATAATTACTAAGTTAGTAATGATTTACTACTATATATTATCAATAATTTACTGCTAAGTTATATCATTAACTTACTATTAAAATATGAATAATTTATTATTAAGTTATCCATATTTTACTACTACACTAAAATTGATTTATTATAAGTTATCATTAATTTATTGTTATCACTGATTTATAACTAAATTATAATTGATTTATCATTAAGTTATCAATAAATTATTATTCAATTAAAGCTGATTTATTATTATAACTAATTTATTACTAAGTTTGGGAACTTTATCTTGCTTATAACCAAAGTTCAATCATTAAGAAACTTCAAGCATGCAAAAAATTATTCCATAAGACAATTAAGTTATCACTGATTTATTACTATGTTTATCAATTATTTATTTTGAAAATTAATCAATGATTTACTATTAAGTTATGAATAGATTTCAATAAATTATTTATAATTTAAATAAAATTATAACTAATTTTCTTAAGTTATCAATAATTTCTATAAAATTACAATGATTAAGCTAATTTTTATTAAATTATTTTATAACTAAATTAAAATTTAATAGTTTTATTAGTTTTTAACTCTAAATTTCAAAATTACTCTATATCATTATGCACATTACTAATTATTTGATTATTACTAACTTTTAAATAATTAGCTATTAAGTTATCAATTATTTATCACTAAGTTATCAATTGAATTACTACTAAGTTATTTATGATTTACTATTAATTTATTAATAAATTACAATATCTGAGATAATTTTCTTTTTATATAATAACATCATTGTTTCAATCAAAATTAGAATTTTTTTACTGATTTTTTTTAATGAATAGGTTCATGGTATGTTTATTCTAGTTCCTAATGATGAAAGTTCTAGATTTGCTCTTTCTAGTAACTAAAGTTCAATCATTGATAACTTCAAGTTTAAAAAAATGTTATCACTAATTAACAAATAAGTTGTCAATTATATATTAATTGCTATCTTATCATTGATTTACTACTAAATTATCATCAATTTATCACTAAGTTGTAGATGATTTATTACTAAATTATAATTGATTTACTACTAAATTATTGATATTTACTATTATGTTATAGATAATTTATTATAAAATTATTATTAATTTACTATGAAGTTATTGATGATTTACTATGAAGTTGTTAATAATTAACTAATTTACAACTAAATTATCATTAATTTATAACTAAATTATCATTAATTTATAACTAAGTTATCAGTGATTTAATATGACATTATTAGTGATTTACTACTAAATTATCAATAATTTACTATTAAATTATCAATGATTTACTATATACTGTTATACATTTACTACTATATTATCATTGATTTACTTTTAAGTTTTAGTGATTAACTACTAAATTATCATTAATTTATTGCTAAATTATTTATGATTTACTGCTAAGTTTATAATTTAATTACTATTAAACTAAAACAGATTTACTATTAAGTTATCTGTAATTTAATATTAAATTTTTTTTATTTACTATTAAATTGTCAATGATTAACTATTAAGTTATCATTTTTTTAAAGTTCTCATTGATTTACTTCTATGTTATTATGCATTTACAATTATGTTATAATTGATTTTACTATTAAGTTATTATGCATTTACTATTATATTATTATTGATTTACTACAAAGTTATCAATTATTTACTATTAAATTATTATTAATATACTATTAAGTTATCACTAATTTACTATACTAAATTATTACTGATTAACTATTAATTTATCAATGATTACTATTAAGTTATATTGATTTACTTTTAATTTTCAATTATTGATTACTACTAAGTTCTAAATTATTTACTACTCAATTATCATTAATTTATTATTAAATTATTTATGATTTACCACTAAATTTGTCAATTAATTACTACTCCCTTTATCTGTCCCAGTTAAATTGTCACAATTGATTTTTTTTGTTAAAATTTTTTAATTTTAACATCTATTATTTTAAATATTTCAATAAATCAAAATTTATAAAACATGTATTTAGAAACCACTTCATTTAAAGTTTTTAAGATATATTTTTTCATATTTTTATCAATAATAAATATAAAATAATAAGTGATTAAAGTTAAAAAAAATTGACCAACAAAAAAAATGATAATTTTACTAGGATGGAGGAAGTATTAAACTAAATCTTATTTACCATTAAATTATTATTAATTTACTACTAAATTATAATTAATTTACTATTAAGTTATCACTTATTTTTATTAAATTATTCTTAATTTACTACTATATTGTTATGTATTTACAATTATGTATAAATAATTTACTATTAAGTTATTTGTTATTTACTACAATATTATTATGTATTTATTATTACGTTATCATTGGCATACAATTATCTTATCAATTATTTACTATTAAATTATTATTTATTTACTATTAAATTATACATAATTTAATATATAGTTATCATTAATTTAATATAAAGTTATTACTGACGTTATTTAAATTATTACTAATTTACAATAAAATTATCAATAATTTGCTACTATATTACTCTTTTCATCTTTATTTGTTTGTCTTCTATTAACTATTACGAAGTTTAGGAAAAAAGTTTTGACTTTAATGTATTTAATGTTAAAATTAAATTTTTTTTATAAAATTAAAATTTTATGTTTTTTAATGTTAAAAAGTAAAAAAAATCATAAAAAATAATTTAAAACATAAAAAAGTAAGAGTTTTAGATGTTTAAAATAATTAAAAAAAAAGACATCATTTTGGGACTTCACAAAAAGAAAAGATTGACAAAAAAAAAAAAAGATAGAGGGAGTATTATACATTTAATATTATGTTGTAATTTATTTACCACTAAATCTTCTATAATTAATTTAATTGTGTAAAGCATATTAATAGGTGAAATGTGTTACAAACACTAAAATATTCATATATAGAAAAATTATTTTAAGTCTTTCAGTCGTATTACTTACAGTAAGTGGGGCATGAATGACTTAACCAAGAAAAACTATTTTAATAAAAAAATAAAGAGTAGAAAATATTTTAATTTGTTAAAAAATATTTAATAAAAATAAGTAGAGATAATTTAATAAATTATCACATTTTATACATAATATAGATATATATTAAATATCTTCTTAAGTATAAAATCTCTTATTTAAAATAGGTTATGAAATCTAAAGTATGTAAATATTTGTTAGTATTCTAAATTTTTAGCTAAAATTTAAATAACTATTTATATTAAAGTTGGCTAAATTCCAAATCCAATACTTTTTACACATTAATTGAAAAAAAAATTAGAGCTCATATTATTATCTATAATCTAATACTTTTTTTTTTATCATGTTCATATATATTGTGATACATTGACCCATTGAATAATAAATAGACTAATTTAGTAATCTTAGGATCTATATGAAATATTTATTGATTCATTTATCTTATTTTTGTATATATATAATTTAATTTTATCAATTGAGTTAAATATTTATCTTAATTGAAGGTTATATAAATAAATATATTTTATTCTGCATCCTTATACTTCAAATTTTTTATCATGCGACTAATGAGTTTAATTATAAGTCTTCCTTTTTTTATGAATTAAAGAATTAGTTAAACAAACATGATTGGCATGTAGTGTATTATTAATAGAAATCAACCAACTTAAAAAAATCACTTTTAATATTGTTTGGAATTCATATTTTTTTATGTATATATCATAGATGATATATGCATTTATGTATAATAAACACACTCATTAAAATAAAAATAATTATTAAATAGATACTTTCATGATAAGAATACAAATCAATAATCATACACTTTAAGTATATAAACAAATAAAATGAAATGAACTATAACATTATTGTTTCAAAGAATCTAATAATTGGTTAGAGAACTAACAAAGTTTTGATCAATTAATCAATATTTTTTACTATCAAAACACAAAAATATGTTAAGTATTCTTAATTGAAAAAAATAAATTTATATTTTGCAAAGAAAAATCATAAAATATATTGATAATATAGTTTTTAAATTTCACAAATGAAGTTAGCAGTATGACATATACCCTTTAGGCTTTAGAGTATATTAAAAAAAACTAATTGAAAAAAAAATGAATGATATGTTAATTTCTTAACCAGATTGTGAAGATTAAAAAAAAAAAAAACTCAACTAATAATATATCAAATAATTTTTTTTCTTCAAGATTAATGTTTCTTAGCAATATTGACTTTGGTTTCATAAAAATATCTTAAGTACTAAATATTTGAAATTAAATATAAAAAAATAAAATAGACAGAAATTAATTTGGGTGTAGTATAGAATCAATCTATAAAAGATAAAATAAAAACTAAGCTTAGTAACAATTCAAGGGTACATGAGATTATGTTTATAAAGTAAAGATTCATTTAGGCATTGTAATATTAAAACGTGATTGCATAGAGTGATTAGAAATATTACAATCAACCATTGCAATAATTAAACATATAAATGTATATTTATCATAAAAATACAAAAAAATCAAACATACAAACTTATCATAATACGTGTACTAATCTTTTTGAATAATTTTTTGATAGTTTAATTTATAATTTTATATGCACTTTAATTTTAATTAATCTAAATTAAATAAATAAAAAATATAAATATATTTAAGGACTCATGATATATATCATTAAAGAAGACAAAGAGTAAATTATATTGAATCTTGAAAAAGAAAAATTATATGCTTTACTTAAGAAAAAAGTTAAATGTTTTGGAGGCATACATATTATAATATAATAATTTAAACTAAAACAATTAGTAATTGAGAAACAGAAAAAATATTTTATCTATATTTTATTCAATATCATGTACTCATAGTATGCCACAACCATAAGATGAGAATGTGTTTTGCATGAATTTGATTGAATTATTACTTATGAAATTTAACAAAAAAGAATTCTAAAAATAAAGATGAGAGTAAATTTGAGTTAATTTTAAACAACAGATCCACCATATGCCATAAATAAATTTTGAATGTAGTTTAATTTGATATAAATTTTATTTGTAAATTTTTAATTGATTCAAATTTAAATAACTAATTAATAAAAAATTATTTATTTAATGACAAATAATATTTATTAAATAAATAAAAAATGCTAGAAATTGAAATATAAATATGTTATTTTTTAAAATTTATAAGGATATTTATATTATTTATTTTTAACACTTTTATATTTAAATTTAAATAACTAACTAATAAAAACAATATATTTAATGACAAATAATTTTTATTAAATAAATAAAAAATGCCAAAAATTTAAAAGGTAAATATATTATTTCTTAAAATTCATAAGGGTATTTATGTCATTCATTTTTAATACTTTCAGAGTTGACAATGAAAAATTATATGCTTTACTTAAGTAAACTTAAATGTTTTTGGGGCATACATATTATGATATAATAATTTAGACTAAGACAATTAGTAATTGAGAAACAAAAAAAAGATTTTGTCTATATTTTATTCAATATCATAAACTCATTGTATGTCACAACCTATAGGATGATAATGTGTTTTATATGAATTTGATTAAATTATTATTTATGAAATTTAACAAAAAAGAATTCTAAAAATATAGATGAAAGTAAATTTGAGTTAATTTTAGACAACAAATCCACCATATCCCACAAATAAATTTTGAATATAGTTTAATTTGATATAAATTTTATTTGTAAATTTTTAATTTATTTATATTTAAATAACTAACAAATAAAAAATTATATATTTAATGACAAAAAATCTTTATTAAATAAATAAAAAATGCTAGAAATTGAAATATAAATATTTTATTTTTTAGAATTTATAAGGATATTTATGTTATTCATTTTTAACACTTTTAAATTTAAATAACTAACTAATAAAAGCTATATATTTACTGATAAATAATCTTTATTAAATAAATAAAAAATGCTAGAAATTTAAAGGTAAATTTGTTATTTTTTAAAATTCATAAATGTAATTATATCGTTCACTTTTAATACTTTTAGAGTTCACAATTTTATATATAGATGATATATATATATATATATATATATTGACGCACCTTACTAGACACATAATACAACCAATTTCATTATTTCAACTTAAACTATTAACATACACTAACAATTTGACCCTTGCCAAGTAATCCAAAAGCCAAATTAAAAACAAAACAATGACAGCTTCAATCTAATTTTACATATACTTGCATGCATATGTAATACATGCATACATTTGCATACTTTTCACATTGAAGACACACCGTCATAATACTAAAATCTTATTAAGAGGGGGGGTGGGGGGATACTAAAAATCAATTATTTTGGAGGGTGGGGGGCATGAAGTGATCATTTAAGAAATGTCAACACGGTTTGAATGAGAGTGAGCACAACCACCATAAAAGCAGCGACAGTTCCAGTTCCTCGCCAAAGATTGGTGAAATACACACGCTTCAGAATTGCTAGATTCTCCTTGCAGAATGTTGCTATTACGTGCTTCCGAGCATTTTTGTAATATTTGTTTAATCGTCTCCCTGTTTCCCGGTAGCAAGCAGCAGGCTCGCCTACTCCCTGCATAAGTTTCTTAATCATACCTGCCAATGCTTTACTGGGATTTATTCTGCTAACGATAATTCCCTCGTTTATTCCGTCGTTGCTTAAAACCCCCTTTTCCATTAACAAATCTACATCTTTGTCAGATCTAATGAGATAATTCATTAGTTCTATGTAAGCACAAACATAGGTTTCACCTGGATAGTGGCACATCTCCAAGGCCATCACGTTGCGAATGTAAGCTTCCGTGTTCGAGTGCACATTCAATTTGGGGATTTTAAGCTCTTTCCCTTCAAATTTTATATCGAGCCAGCTTGCACTTTGATCATCTACTGGTTTAAGCTCAACACCAGCGTCCTGCAACATTGTCGCACTATACACTGATTCAGTTTTTCTTTTTTGGGCCATGGATGGATCTGAATTTGATGCGCAATTTTTAACCAGATGGCATCTCAACAAACCGGTGAAGTGTAGGATTTCTGCATCCTCGAACCTTTTATCCCATGGAATATCAAAGTAGAGGCAAGCATGATAAAGAAAGGGAAAAGCAGAGGCAGGGGCAGCACAAGAATCAAATTTGTCTTCACGAGGGAAGTTACAGTATAACTTATATAGTTCTTCAAGCACAAAGAAAGGGATCTGATTTTCAAGTAAGAGCAAGTCCCTCCGAAGACCAGCTGACCACGTTCCTTTTAATAAGAAGTCTTTAATTCCCAACTCTTGTGCATTTTCCTTCTCATAGTTCCTCAATAAGAGCTCGACGATAAAGAGTGCATCATAAAATATCATCACTACAATGTCATCGTCTATGATGGATGATGCTTCATAACAGTTGAGAATTGCTTTTTCCTTGTGTTCAACGAAGCGCCAAAAATCTTCCAATGTCTTAGTCGAAGTCGTTTCACAAAATTTCTTTTGATAGCTCAATTTAATACTTTGTCATTTTAGCCAAAATTTTTCTTCTGTAATGAAGAGGGCCTATTGAAATTAATTGAGGAGTATAGGCTTTTTCATTTCCTTGACGAATGTTCTTGGGGACCTTGTAGATAAACCCTTCCACGGACCCAAGCTCCAAATCATCATCATCTTCCGAGTCATCGTTTGCTGGATCTTTCTTTTTCCCAAATGATGGAGCGTCGATAGCGCGTAGTGGATCCCACCTCGGTGGCATTTGTTTGATCTCCTTTCCATGTAAACAAAAGTCAAAGTGACTAGTTAGCAACGGAATCAAATCCTGATTATTCTCATTTTCTCTCCTAGGCTTAGTTGCTCTGATATGAGTTCTTGTTTGTAATATTTGGTTATTGTCCAGCATTCGGACAACCACAAAAATTATGGTATTACTACTTAAAACTTAGAATCTTAGGGGCATTGTAAATTTGGATTAAAAGAAAAAAAGTACTCCTGTATATATAGTTGTCCGATTAACCAACATCCTGGTAGGTAGCAAAAGCACGTTTTCCATAAAAATCACCAATATAGTTTGTAAAGATAGGATTAATTTTTTCAGCCAAAAAAAAAAAGACAGGATTAATTATGTTTTCTGTAATTATTACCAATTGTTATTTAATTGAACTAACCATATGCTCATCCTCTAGCAGTTCTAATGACGCTAATAAGAAGAAAAAAATTTAGAAACAAGAAAAAAAAAAGGTTGTGGGGAGCAGGAGGAGGATATATATAGTACTATTAACTTAATAATTTTCCAATTTTCTTTTATAAAGGAAGAACACTAAGATTTCAACGCAACCCTCATCTTCCGATATCATTTGAGCTAAGTCAAAATGACGAATCATTAGTTGACCGAAGTTGATTTCAAAGTTTCATCTTGAATGAAAAAAAGACATGTTTTAAATAACATGAAAAATGATAATGTTTTGATAACACTAATCGAGAGTTAAAACTTACAGTTACAGGAAAACAAATGGCCTTTAGCTTCCGAGACTAAAATTTGCAGGAGCCTGGAATTACAAATACAGAGAGAGATGGAAGGGAAGACTTGTTCACGGACTAGAAATATGAAGTTTCATGAAGTTGGTAAATAGAAGAGCACCTGCAATGTATATATATACACAAGTATAGGTGTTCTTCCTTTTCAGTCGAAGATAAATCGTTGAATATTGACGTTTATCAAGAGACTAGGAACAGAACATTTTACATGAGACAAAATATAAACATGCTTTTCCTGCTTTAAATACTAATACTATTAAATAAATAAAAACTCAAATTACACCATTGGTTCTTGTAATTAGGTGAAGAGGAGGATTTAATGCTATAAATTTATTTTTACAAATTGAATCCCTCAACTTTTATAAATTGTAAAATCCAACCCAATCACTAAGAAAAATATAAAAAAATTAATTATAAAGGTCATACTAAATTATAAGAATGATATATTAAAAAATTATTTCAAGAAATAAATGATTTAATTATATTATTAATGATCAAATGATCAACTCATAAAATATATAAATAATAAAATCATTATCATACATATATAGTTAATTTATTAAAACAAAAAATTGAAAGGCAAAAAATAGAAAAAAATAAATATACTTAAATGATTTAATTATGATTATTTTTAATAAATTTATTTATCAGCATAAACTACATATACAATTATTTTTACAGCGACTAAAGAAACAAATTTCATAATGTTTTATTCTTATACACATTAAGCTTTTATATCATTCTATTTGTATTTTCATTTGATGTGAAAAGTCATTTTTGCTTATGAAAAAAAAGTTTAATATTAAAAATAAAATCATTTAAAATTAAAATTTATAACAAATTACTAATGGCATTTTAATCAATCACTTTTAATATTTTTGAAATTAAAATTTTATTAAGGGTTTACTCAATCACTTTTAGTACTTTTTAGTCTAATTATAAAAAAAGTCTGATAATAAAAAATTTATTTAAATTAAAAATTATAAAAAACTTACTAAAGATATTTTATTCAATCACTATTAACACTTTTAAGATTTTAAGTTGTTTACTTTTTCATAAACCTTATTTTTAATTTTAGTTGATTTAAATTAAATTTAAATAAATTAATAAAAGTTATATATTTAAAGATAAATATATTATTATAAGGGTATTTAGATCGATCACTATTAATAGTATTAATCACTTTTAGTAATTTTTTAGTCTAATTATAAAAAATTCTAATAATAAAAAATTCATTTAAATTAAAAATTATAAAAAATTTACTAAAAATATTTTAATCAATCACTATTAACATTTAAAATTAAAATTTTAAGATTTTAAGTAGTTTAATTTCTCATAAACTTTATTTTTAATTTTAGTTGATTTAAATTAAATTTAAATAAATTAATAAAGTTATATATTTAAGAATGAATTTGCTAATTTAAAACTTTATAAGGGTATTTAGGTTGATCACTATTAACAGTTTTGGATTTCATATTTTTATGTATAGATGATAGATGATATATTCGAAGCACCATACTGATAACATAATACTAGCAACTTCATTATTTCAACTTATAGATACTAACATACACTAACAACTTGGCCCTTGCTAAGTAATCCAAAAGCCAAATTAAAAACAAAACAATGACAACTTCAATCTAATTTTACACATACTTGCATACATATATAATACATGCATACACTTGTAGACACCCCATTTTGTCTGGAATCCTTTGTCAATTGAAACTAATTTAAGCTTGGTCATAGGGATTTTTATTCATTTTTATTTTAGATTTTTTATTTCATATTTATCGTTTTTTTATTTTTATTTTATGGTCTATCTATTGTTTATTTTCTTTTTCTTTCTCCATTATCAGGTTAATTTTTTTTTTTAAAGAAAAGCTGAAAGAATAAGATTAGGCTTGGTGATGATTGTTATAAAAAAAAATTAGAGATGCTAATCTTTAGCTTTGGATGATAATCAGAATTGAACTGAAATACAATCACTTGGTTTTATATATCATTACAATTCACAGCAATGGAAAAAAAAGAGGGTGGGGGGGGGGGAGAAAACAGAAGCAAAACAAAAGGGGAAGCCCCCATCGCCACCAAGCCCTTGAGGCTTCCCCTTGGTGGGAAACCTTCCCTTCATTGACCTTGACTTTTACTCTTACTTTGCTGTACTAGCTCATACCTACGGGCCAGTTGTGAAACTCCAACTTGGGAGCAGGATTGGTATCTTGGTGACCTCCCCATCCATGACCCGAGCAGTGCTTAAAGACCAAGACTTCGCATTTGCCAATCGTTACGTGCTTGTGACTGCCCTCTTAGCAAACGACAAATGTGACATAGCTTGGAACCCCTATGGTCCTGAATGCAGGATGTTAAGAAAGGTATGTGTACTCAAGATGTTTAGCAATGTCACTTTAGGCAAAGTATATATGCTTCACCATAAGGAAGTACAAGAAACCATGGGTTATATATACAGTAAGGCTGGATCGCCTGTCAATTATGGCTTTATATATCAATAATGAGGAGGCAAAGGGAAGAGAGAAGAAAAACAGGGAAAAAATGAGAGCAAAACACGTTGAGAAAGTAACAAAAATAGTAACATAGAGAGGGGAGCTGTTGGTATATGAGATAAAGGGCCTGAAGAGAAGATAGATGGAAAAGACCTAAGAAAAAGGGCATTTGATGCTGATGAAAGGATAGATGTAAATCGAAGGGAGCCATCTGGAAATCATTTGGGTTTCTTAAAACTAGGTGGACAGTCTGAAAGTTCTTTGATCAGCAACAAAGGAAATTGGTTGGCTATCCAGAGGCAGTTGTTACAGCTGGAGAGATAATAAGTGCATCTCATGAACATGATGCAGGACTTTATGGGTGGTTCTCATGATAGCATGGTAACTTTGGAGAACAGAATTAGGGGTCTTGAGAGAATTATTGAAGACATGGCTAGGGATTTATCGATATCATCAAGCAGGAGAAGTGGTAATTTTATGACGGGGTTTAAAGGATCTTCTAATAGACCTTTAGGGTAGTATAATGGCTTCTCCGACTATAGTTTCAAGTTCAGTGGGTGAATTCCATTTGAAGAAAGATTTGTCCAATCTGATGGAATTACTCCAGGTTTGAGGGGAAGAAGACCTTTTTGGAGATCTGAAATGTCTGATGATTGGGATTTTCTCGCATTTGGTGCTTTCAAAAATAGGCAAGTGACTTCAAGAAGAGCTTCAGCTAGCAGCAGCCTGGATGGTGGGTCACCCGAAGTTCCAGTCACCGTACCTGGACCAGGTTCTGGAAAACATGTTGAAAAATGTGCTCCACTTTGTTACGTCTAGGTGGGATCAAAACGCTCCCTCATTGGTGTGCAAGTCATGGTACAAGGTCGAGTCACTGACGCGAGGTGCAATTTGGTACAGCAACGTGTATAGCTAAGATGGTGGAATGTGTAACTGATCCTCCTTTGGCTGCTTTTCAAAAGCTATGTCCAAGGATCTGCAAGCTGTTGAATAATCAAAATTTTATGGCTAAGGCTTCCCTTTTGCTGGTAGTGGCGAGTTTGTCACAGGTGGGAACAATTGCACCTCAGAGCTTGGAATCTTTGCTACAAAGCATCCATGAATACCTTGGGAGCACAGATTGGGTGACGCGAAAGGCAGCTGTTGATGCTTTGAGTGCTTTGGCACTGCATTCAAGCAACTCAATTGCAGATAGAGCAGCTTCAACGATAACAGTACTAAAGGGTTACCGCTTTGACTGGATAAAACTTGTTAGAGATAGTATGATAGAAGCATTGCAATTATGGAAGAAGATTGCAAGAAAAGGGGAAGATGGAACTGCAGATGACCAGAAAGCTTCATCTCATGATGGTGAAAATGCTTAATCAGTTGAATCATCTGAAAAGAATGGTTTTAAAATTTGAAATGTTGATGATAAAAATCCAGATCCATCAGTAAAAGATTCATCTAATAATCTGTCCCCTATTTTAGATTCTGTTTCCAAAGGGAAAGATGGAAGCATTCATGACAAAGTAATTACAATTTTAAAGAAGAAAGCTCCTGCATTAACAGACGAAGAGTTGAATCTGGAATTCTTTCAGAAATTGAAAACAAGAGGTTCTGGTGATTTGCCAGTTGAAGTAGTTATTCCTCGCAGATATCTTAATTATTTGAACTCAAAGAATGAGGAAGAGTCAGAACCAAATGATCCAACCACAAGAAGAAGGTCGAATGGTGTGGAAAACAGCCACAGCGAGTTTTCTAAGCCAAGCCACTAATTGTTTTGGTATTTTTTTTTCTTTTTTGTTATTTTGGTCATTATTCATTTATTATTATTTTTTTGAATAAATAAAGCAAGATAAATAAAAAAAAATGTTTTGAA